TGCTTCCCAGAAGCTGTGCTAAAAGCCACAGAACAGAAATGGGGTCTTCTACAAAGGGCAGTCTAAGACACTACCTGGAAATGAGTGAATTAGGTACTTCTACTTATAGATGCTTCATGAATATGGAATATTGAGCTGATATGGCTTGGTGTTGTCAGCACCACGCTCAGCCAGTGAGCAAACCAGCCATCCCTATATAGGATCCGAACCCGTGGCCTTGGTGTTATCAGCACCGCACTCTACCGAGTGAGCCACGGGCCGGCCTTGACCATGTGTTTTTGAGGCTGTGTATATAACCACATGTATTCTTTGTCATTCAGAAATCTGCATTCTATTGCATATGTATGTGTGAGTGAATAAAGTTATTGTTTGTTACGACTTATACCTAGATACTATAGTAACCACTTTATATGTATCATTTCATATAATTCAATAAATCCTATAAAATAGATTTTATTATTATCCTTTCTTTAAATCAACATGTTTTACTTTTTAGAGCAGTTGTAGGTTTACAACTGAGTAGGAAGGATAGAGTTCCCATATAACCCCTCAGCTTCCCACCACCCTACACATAATTTTCCCTATGCATTAGTGCTGTACATTTGTTATAATCAACGAGTCAATTAAAGTTTATATTACATACATTTTATGTTATACATAGTTTATATTACAGTTCATTCTTTGTGTTGTACATTCTCTGGGTTTGGACAAATGTATAGTAACATGTATGCACTATTACAGTACCATACAGAATAGTTCAGATGAAATAATTTTCCAAGGATCACATAGCTAGACAAATGTGGGAGCTGTTCTGCCTGCCTAGAATTTGTGCTCCTAACTCGTACATTAGGCTGCTTGACTCATTGCAGTTATTGAGTCATTTTTGGAACCCTAACTTGGTAAGATTCTTGCTAATTCTTATTATCTTTATGAAAGTATATGTATAAGAAACATTCTGCTGTTATCCTTTTTTTCTTTGTGGTTAAAATGCTATGGGGGATGTTTCAGGGAATTTTAAAATTTTAATTATTGGGTATTTGATGAGACTCTTGACTTAAAGAGGATTTACTGAGTGGATTAAAATGAAAGAAGAAATGAGAAAGTTGCCTGATCATTTGGTTATCACTAGCTGTAGGTGGTAGAGGCTATTGGCTAGCTCTTAGCTGTTAGAATAATGAATTGAATGAAGGATATAGCAACAGTGTGACTTTATTTTCCTGAATGACTAAATGAACAAAAAGGAGAGGAAGTTTATGGAGAAAAGAATCAACGATATATGGAATGTACTGTATTAGGTTAATTATAGAGCATACGAAATTTTATTATGTCATAGTTTTACATGAGACAAGAGCCTTCAGAATGAAGACCCAAAGATATAGGGAAAATTGTCAGTATTTATGCTTAGGTTCTATGATGCAGTCACAACCATGTAGAAATGTAATTAGACAATAAAAGTGTGACCTAATGCCAATAGATTGAGGAAACCCAGCAAGACCTGTCTGTTCACATTCTTCTTGGCCTCTCTGGGTAGCATTCATTCCTCCAGGGTATGGGGCAGGGCCCTTTCTGGAGTGGGGCTCCTACCATCGGACAAGATAGGTCAGAGAATTTCTTTATGGCCAGCTCCAAGGCAAAGAGGCAGGGGGGGGGGGGGGGGGGGGGGGGGGTTGGAAATTAGAGTATATCTATGACCTGCCTTGGGGAAGAGAGATTCTAGTTTCTGTGGCTTGCTCAGGCTGAGAGCAGGAGGGCAGGAAAAGGTCAGAGGAAAATTTTGCTTTTGAGGCTGCTTCCGAGGCCTGTACTTCGGGGTATCACTTTCTGAGCACCAACAAACTGCTCCAGGCAAGATCTTCTTATGGCTCTTCTTCTACCTTGGTCCATGCCTTTTGTGTATTTCTAAAGGCAGTTGTGGTTCAGAAGCAGTAACAAGATGAACAATGTATAGTTTTAGAATCTGGATTATGATATTGGTTCATGAAAAATCAATTTATTGCATGTAAACCTTTCCCAATTTTTGTTTTGCTTGTTTTCTTGTGAGTATGATGGTAATATTGACTTAAATTTACAGCTGGGAAGGTGACCTGGCTTTAGATAAAATCCTAGATTAGCAGAATTTTAGTTCTGAATGATAGCAGCATGGGTAAACAGTAGCTATGTGAGATTCAGCAAAGAGTAACTTCTTTTCTTTATATATAAAGTGAGAGATTAAGACAGAATCATTTCAGAAAACTAAAATGGCTATAATGCTTTATAAGAAAAACGAAAAAACAGAGAGGAAATTAATTGAAGAGAGAAAATAAAATAGAATATGACAGTGATGTTTCTGTAAGACCATCTTATTCTTTTGATTTCTGGGAAACCATTTTTCACTTTTTCTCTTGCTTCCCCAGTCTTTTTTTTTTTTTTTAAATAACTTTGAGCTCACTCTTATCTTTTATTTTTTCTATTCTTGGTGTTTCCCAGGATTCTGACTTCAGCCTTCTCTTTCAACATATTCTCCTTGATCCTCCTCATTTAGAAAACAAAACAAAACATTTTATTTTTTCTGATGATGATTACCAAGTAGACATTAGTCTACTTCATTTAGGCCCAGGAGGGGAAGAATCCCTCATGATCTGTTGCTAAATCATCCATTTTCTCTGTTTTTCAAGGGTCGTAAGAGTGAGGCTGAAAAGTTCTTCTTGAAGGCTATTGAGCTGGATCCCACCAAAGGAAACTGTTACATGCATTATGGTGAGTGGTTGATAGTTTTTTACATGTCCCCCACATTTACTACTAACATTGATATGAAATGTAGGTTTTGCTGGGAAGAAAAAACATTTTTAGAAGAGACAGAGTTTGTTGTTGCACATTTAGCCTCATACTATATTCCTACCTTCCCGTTCAGAACAATCATATTAAAAAGGGCTATGCATTATATTTTCCTTCAGTAATTTTCATAAGACTTCAATGGGGAAGGCAGTTTTACTGTGGTTTCTTTCAAGTTCAATGTGGAGTTTCAATGAGACTTCATCACGAAAGCATCTAGCTCCTTGCTTGATGCACAGTTTATGATAAAAATATTAGCTTCCTTTTCATTCTAAATAATAATGTATTGCTCATTGAGTGTGTCATTTTGAAGTTATAGAAGTTTACATTTTGGCTTCACAATCTTGCTTTCTGGAAGATATGGATGTATACCAGCCTAAAATGCCTATGATTGAGGCCAAGGGTAAGCTGTAAAGGGTGTAAAAGACAGATGTCTCATTCTGTTTATCCTTGGCCTTAATCAGACCAGAATGGGCTTACATAACAATTCTGTCACACTCCACTCTATCGTTAGTAGTGAGTCATGTACTTAGTGAGGCGAAGTATATAGCTGCTTTAGTGTTGGGTAAGAGGTGCTTATTTTTTACCAGATTTGCAGTTGGAATGATTTTCAAGGAACCGAAAAGCATTTACTTTTGCTGATCCCTTGGGGGGGGGGGAAATGGTTTTTTGATCACTATTGGCTTTGATGTGTAAGTTATTATCAAGTAGTAAACTTTAAAATGGATAGAAATTAAATCTTAAGGAAATAAAGCTAATATGCTTGTATAATATTTGATTCCTTCTTCCAGTTTCCAGCTAGTAAAAATAAATCAGTGACAGGCTGAAAGTATAGAAGATTGTAAATAGTAAGATGGGGGATACGCCCAACCAACTACAAGTCCATTTTTAAAATATACATTATTGTTGTATATATGTTTATTGTGTTGCTTTATCTTCCCAGCATAACGTAGAATGTAATTTCACCCAAAGTATTACCTAATCACTCCTGATTTTGCTTCACAAGGTAGTTTTATTGGCGTGTAAAGATAGCAGTCAACTAATTTAAGTTTGCTGCTGAGTTTATTTTTATTTTTACTTTTTTTCCTATGAAGAATTTTTAATTAGTATTTTCTCATGCCTACTATTTTGGTACCCCTACTGTGCATTAAAGAAGGTCCATGATTATTTTCCCTGAGGGCTAGAGGACTTCTTATCATTGCATTTTAAGAAATAGGATTTTTTTTTCCTATCTTGCTGCCTGCGTTTCCTTTGCCTTATTGTACTTACTGCATCATCTAAGCTTGTGTCCCGTGATATCATTATATGTTGCATAGGTTTTTCACAGTCACTTTCTTTAAACTTCATCACTGCTACATTTGAATTGCCCTTGAAAAAAAA